AGTTTCATAGAGCCTATTTATATAAGAGTCAAATAAAACTTAGAGAGGTTACGTGATTTGCCAAGGTCAAATAGCCACATGTGTCACAGTCAGGATTCACACTCAAGTCAATTTAACTCCAAACTGCATGCTTTATTTTTACCACAATCCTATCTCCAAATATATAATTTTCCTGTCTGGCACAACCAAGGCAAAAACACTATTTAATGATCTAAGCAATGCATTGAAAGGGAAAAAAATTGCTGAATAATATACTCCTCTAGCAAAGCTGACTGAGAACATATCCAAATACGACATAATCTATACTTAAATCTTAGAACAGACCACAAATGACCTGGAAAACCCTTTTTCTTCATACATTTTTTTATAGCTTTGATGCATAAAGAAGAGAAACCAAATGTTTAAGATGCAAGAATAATGTGCCTTTCCATCCCAGCCCAAGCAGAGCTTACATGTTTCACCAAAAGTTCTATCATAGTTATATTATCAAGCAAACACCAAATCACAAATAATAAGGAATAAGAAAAATACAAAGATTATTTTGGTTTTGGAAAACAACTAAGCCCCAGGAAACTCCTTTTAGAAATGTGGAAAAGTCCTTTTCATAGTAGCTAATATTTCTTCTTTAGGCTTTGATATAAAATTTGGTTTGTAACCTTTATATGACCATATTTTTACTCTTTACAAAAATTAAGTTTTCTAGTAAGGTATTTACAACACTAACCTTTACCTTCTGCTACTTAAAATAGTTACAATATTTAGATCAATTTTTATCCTCTTAGAACATTCTGTGTGATAGTTTTAAGTCATTTGAATGAAAACCTTCAGAAAAACAGAAATGCCTAATTGGTAGTCAGTGTTCTTTACGCCAGTAAAAAGAAGATTCCATATGCATAATAATTAAAAGTCTATTTTTGAGACGCTCTGAAGCAAACATTTTTCAGAAGATTGAGCACAGATCTGGGGTCTTCACTTTTCATAATGGCTCTGCCAGAAAATCATGTTAGTTCCTACCTTTGCACATTTATAAAAACTGTCAGGACCCAATCAACCATTTATCTCTATCTCCAAAAACAAGAACTGTGTCCTCTTTTTTTCTGCCCTCCAAACCCAGGTTCCACAAGACCATGACTAGCTCATGATACCAAAAACTCAACTGTAGTTCCTGGCTTAAGAGAAGGACCAAATTTTATCCAGGTCGCCTATATATCTTTAATAAATGCTCCTGGTATCACAGTAGTTTAAAGATGAAAAGTATATTAATTTGTTCCTGCTGTAGCTATTGTTTTTATGTTATTCCAGCCTGGAGACCATTATGTGCATATCAAAGACAGGTTCCTTATGTAGCTGGTTTTGAAGACTTTCTAGGGTGACAAACTGTGATGCAGGAAACAAACTGTCCGTCCAACACCCCCTGATGCAACTAATCAGCCTCAGAGTCTAATATCTGAATACCTTTGGCATCTAGACTGGTTATGTTGCCATAGGGAGTGGGCATGCCAATTTTATAGCTTGATATCCTTTTCTAATCTATTCTTAAATCTTTAGAATGAAAATTTTGTCTTCATAAGTTGCTTCTTGTATTTATGTGGATCTTTTCTTTGCAATTGGGTTGAGAGGGATAGGAGTTAATGAAAACACTGTTTCCTTTCCACCAAAGAGCTCTCTTCTCTTCTTACCACTTCTGTATCTTTTAAATGTTTGTGGTAGAAATTAAATAAGCACTAGAAAGAAACTGCAAATATATTGTTTTTGTGCTTGCTACCTTTTAAGACTATTTGGCCATGTTGGTTCTAAGTCCTAATTTCTCCTCTAACCTAAGCAAAAAGATTCCTATGAGCCTTGTATGTTTCAATCTGATTCACCAGTATAGGGCTCCACATAGGAGGAATATCAAAGCTTCAAGATAATAAATTATTACTTTTTGGTTGTGGATATATCTCCTTTTGTCACAGCCACAAGAAATTATGAATCTTAGAACTGATAGTGTTTGTCTCTTTACTTGGGTTACTAGGAAGCTCAGAGAAAAATTTGTGACCCATCTTCTGTAAGTGGAAGAACCTTGTGGTACATATTTAAGATACTGCTTAAATTATATATTTATACATATAATTTTATATATTTTAAAAATCGTATCTATATTATTTTCATTTTCCTCTGATATTCTAATTTATTATATTTTTTGGTTGTGATTTTAATGTAGTGCTATAAGGTAACAACACTAATAACAATTATTATTATGTGTAAAACCATGAGAACCATCCAGTAATCCATAGTACCAACTACTCAACCACAGAAATAAGAGGATCAAGACTATTATATTACATGGGCTATGTAGAATGGGTTGCAAGGTCCTAAAAAAATTATAAGTAAAATCTATCAAAACACAGTTGAATAAGCCTAATATTCTGGATTTTCTATTTTCTTTTTTTTTTTTATTTGTTGAGACAGGGTCTCACTCTGTCACCCAGGGTGGAGGGTAGTGGCAGTATCTCAGCTTACTGTAGCCTCCACCTCCCAGGCTCAGGTGATCCTCCTACCTTAGCCTCCCAAGTAGCTGGGACTAAAGGCATGCACCATGATGCCCAGCTAATTTCTGTAATTTTGTAGAGATGGGCTCTTGCCGTGTTGCCCAGGCTGGTCTCAAACTCCTGAGCTCAAGCAATCCACCTGATTCTGCCTCCTGAAGTGCTAGGATTATAGGTGTGAGCCATGGCACCCAGCCAATTTTCTATTTTCTATTGCAACTTACACTCTGAGCATACATTAGAAAACACACAGCAAGTCTCAAAGACTCATGGCAATAAATAAAGAACCCTGCTTCTCCAGCTGTTTTACTATCTGACATTATCTTATTGGTTTGAGCACTGATTAGAAAATTCTTTCCAGATCATTTGAACTTATTCTATGTATTACTTCTAATTAACTTTCGAGAAAAGTTTTGACATCACAAATGACCAAGCCAAAAATGCTTGACTAGTCTAGTCCTTGGCTGTCAAATTGATTTTAACTAATTGGAAAGTTTTCTTTCAAATCTTAAGACCATTCAATGTGATATGCATAGTATTAAATTATGTAAAATATGTACTAAGGCAGGAAGCTGGTTTGATGAAAGAAAAGTATATCCTTTTAAATCCTTTAAATAGGTGTGGCTCACACACTACAGACACCTGGGCATCATCAGAAAAAAAGAACATTTAAACTATTATACATTTAGAAAAAGCACAAGAGTTAAAGAACACAGACATAATACCATACTGTTTCAATAATAACACCTATTCTTTGTTAACTGAAAAATACTAAACTCTTGCTTACATTGCTCAAGTCTTTTTTTTTTTTTTTTTTTTGAGACAGGATCTCGCTCTGTCATCCAAGCTGGGGTGCAGTGGTGCGATCTTGGCTTACTGCAACCTCCATCTCCTGGGTTCAAGCGATCCTCTCACCACAGCCTCCCGAGTAGCTGGGACTACAGGCACACACCACCAAGCAGAGCTAATTTTTGTAGAGAAGGAGTTTCACCATGTTGCCCAGGCTGGTCTTGAACTCCTGATATCAAGTGATCCGCTCACCTTGGTCTCCCAAAGTGCTAGGATTACAGGAGTGAGCCGCCATTTCCGGCCACTATACTCAGTCAACTCCAATCACCTCACCTTTTACGATTTATTATTAATTTCCATGACCTATAATATAGTTTATATAATAGATACTCTTAGAATAGATTTTTAAAATATAGATGTTTCTGCTCTAATATGACACGTGCATTCATGAAAAATCTCTTTCTGCAAAATTACACACTAAAAATAGAAGGCATATGGGAAAAATTGGGTTAGAGGCAGATGTAGGAACCAATGAAGGAGAAGGAGAAGTAAGAATGTTGTAGCTCTTGGAAGTCTACTGAAAATGAAGTAAGCTGAAGATTCAGAATTGCCTATTAGATTTAACAGCATGGAAATCATCTGAGACTTAACAAGAGCATTTCCACTGAATGATCTCAAGGCAAAAATCTGATAGGAGCAATTTTAGAAAAAAAAATGTGAAGAGAAGAAATGGATTCAGTAAGTACAGACAAGTTTTGAGAAATTTTGTTTCAATGGGAAACAAAGCAATGGGAAAATAACTAGCATGGTTTTTTGGTTGGTTGGTTTTTTTACAGATAGGAGCATGTTTGTATGTTTATGAAAAAATCCAGAAGAGAAGATGTTAGGACAATTATCTGCATATTTATAAAATCACCAAGAATTAAGACAGAAGTATAGTTGGAGAGCATGAAAGTGTGGAATAGTGGGTTAACAATCTAATGACATGAATTAAAAGCTGTGGTTTTTAGATAGACGGAGGAAGAGTGATCTGGAGGAGTAATGAGATATAAACATTGTCAATCCACTTTCAGGCTTAGTCATTCAAGGGCTAAGAAAGAAAACAAAAGCCTTCCAGTTTGAAAACTATACAAGAAGCAGTATCTTCAGAGGAAGAGCCAGTTTCTACTAAAATAAGAAGGTGAAAGGAAGGAAAATTCAGAGAAGTAAGTATTAGGGATTTTGAATTCCTGAAGGTACAGAAGAAGTTTCAGTAATTGGGCAGGGATAGAAAATAGGACAGACAAGGAAATATACAGCATCCCTACTGGATGAGGGATGATATAGGAGTCTGGGGCTTCTTGCAGTGGCAAACACAGAATAAAGGACATAATAAGATTAATTCTGTGGAGTCAAGAAAGATAGTGGTGTTGAAGTTGTGAGTGTGTGGGGCAGGGCAGTTCAGGGTGTTTGTGCCTCTCTTGATATCTGTTGGGGAGAATATACTTGTTCCTAGAGCTGGAGCTCCACCTTGACCCTTATTCATGGAGCTGAGGCCAGCTCCATTCATAACTAACAATTTAAAAAATTCATGTGACCTTCACACACCTGGATTTCTTATCAAATAGTTTAAAATTTAAAAAATTTCCCTACTCTAGGGAAACAGTAAGCTAATTTTTCATAGCAGAGATTGGTTTTACTTACATCTGTGTTGCAGGAGCGATACCGTTTCCTTTCCCCAAGGCAGTATTTTCCACCTCCAGAAGGTCTGAAATAACATTTTTTTTTAACATGTGAATATAATACATCTATCCAAACAAAGAGTATATATATTGCTTGATGAAAACATATTAAAGTTTACTTTAAAAAATATAAAATTTGACACATTATTATTTATTTAAGTAACCATGCTGGTGATTGTTAGCAATTATGGTTGTTGAACATAAAAATTAAGGCAATTTATTATTAATTTGTATTAATAGTACTATCAATTTTGTATTAATGTACTAGTGATATATAAGATTCTTAATTGTCAAGATTTACATTCTCAAGAAAGTCAATCAGATCAATATATTTTATAATTATCATAGTAAATATCACTTATTTATAATGAAAAGCCATTTAAATTATATTTAACAAAATCCATAATCTGATGCTATATGTTCAACTAGGAAATGGGAAGTTTGTTTTTACTCCAGACAGGAAGCAAGGAAGCATGAAATAATAACTCCCTGGAAATAGCTTTCATTCAAAGCAAATAATGCAAAATCAAATTTCATCTCATTTTAAAATAGTCTATGAAGTTTAAAAATTTAAATCTAAAAATCAGATGGCTTTGCATTATAGAAATATTAAATACTTTGTATTTCATCAAAATTAATGAAATAGTAAGATGTCAAGTATTTGATTTACATAAATTAATCTTTAAAGGATTTAACATGAGAGAAAACCATATTCTATTATTTGGGCATACTACCACTGAGTGATAAAAACAACTAATTTCTTCTTTTAAAAGAGGTCCAGTTTATTCCCTTAAGTATCTGGGTATATTATTTATCACAGGGTTTTCTTATACTTTTATTAATTTATAGCCGCTTTCAGGTTATTCTGTACTAGTTTTAAAAAAGATCTTAGGTTATTCTGTACTAGTTTTAAAAAAGATCAAGTCTAAATTATAATTTTGGCTCACTGGTATCAATAGGATCATTAAAGCTATATTTTGAATATATTTTGAATGCCAGTGAATGCTGACTCTAAGTAAGGAAGGGAAATGGCTCAGCTTGAACCAGAGAAATGAGTTGGTCAGACAAAAACAAGATAGTGGGGATGGTGGTAGTATGACTGGTTTATGAATGGGTAGCAGGAAGCTCTGCTTAGCAAGAGGGGACTAATTAATAGGAAGTGGGAGAATGGAAACAGAGAACTAATATAAAGCAAAACAATTAAGCCAAAAAGAGTAAAATAGAAGAAAAAAGACATCTGGAGTCAGGAACCAAAGAGAGCGATCCTGAGTTAAAAATAAGAAAAACTAAAAAATAAAAATAGACCATCTTTTATTTCAGAAAGAGAAAGAGAAACAAAAGGAAAAGCATTATCATAACATTCTTCATCAAATACTAGCTGGGAAAGAAGGTCCTCAACCTGAGTTCTACACAAAAATGGGCATTCGACATACGGCAAAGAACAGTTTAGTCTCAGGGAGGACAAGAAAGTACAACTAGAGGAACTGTCCTCTAGTGCCCCATGCCCACCTGTAATGGGCATGGGGCACTGGTAGGAGGGAGAAGCACAGAGCTAGCAAAGAAGACTGATGGCCCTGGCCTTGTGCCAGGGGGACTCTGGCTGGAGAAAAGAGTGGTGGGAGAGGAGCAGTCTGACCTGCACAAAACAGTCATGGGGAGAAGAGTGGTGGCAGCTCTGGAAGATGATTAATGGGGGCATATGAATGGAAACCATTTTAACACATGGGCAGTATTCTTTTCATTGTGATTTGTGATGCGAATCAAGGCATTTCAACCCTTGAAGTGCTCTCATTGGTCCTTTTAATACTAATGTAGCAGTAATAATTTTATGTGACATGTGAAAAGACCTTAGGTTTCTTGGGAATAATAGTAATGTAGCTAAGACCAGATCTGGATTCATCCATAATTCAGTAGTTTTTAAAGGAGGAAATCTATCTGATTATTATTAGATTAAAAGTCTGGCTTATCTGGGACAGATACACAATACTTTCTATTTTTTACATTTTATTTTTAGTTACACAATAAGGGGAAAGGAAGAAAAAGAAAGTCTGTCTAACAAAGCTCCTCCACTTTCCTATGCCTATGGCTTGTTCTGAAGACAAGTACTTGGCTCACTAGCGAAACGTTTTTACAGATAACATGTGAAACCACAGCTCTGAATCATTTCCAACTGTGTCTTTTTGTTGGCTCCGGCTTACTTTAGCTACTTACGCTGGACTGTCACAGTGTCTTAGGGATGAGGAGACGCCTCCCCCGCAGGTCCTGCTGCACTCTCCCCATAGTGACCAGGGACCCCAGCCCCCATCTATGCTCTGGGGCCAAGTGCCAAAAGGAACACAATCTCCCTGATAACACCACTGCAAGATTTCACAGAAAACACAGAATTAGCTTTTAGGCAGACAGAGCTATCAGGATAGAAATACATAAGGGTCAGGTACTGACCAATTAAAGGCATTAGCATTCTCCCAATAGATAACAGACAGATAGTTCTCTAACTGTGTTTAGACACTGGTGAAGGTGCATGTGACTTGCGAATTATCTTAGCTAGGCCATGATTTATAAGCCTCTAACTTGTATTGGGAGTTCCTAAAAAAAAAGTCACATTGCTTCTTTTCCCTTGTTTCTATTCCTCTAGACTTTCAGTGTTTCTCATTATGGAGCTAGCTATAGACCTCAGAGTCTTTTTTAGATATTTTAGTATTTTCTTTAAAATTTACTTTATATTCCACTATTATTAGACTCAAGGAATGATAACACAATATGGAAAGTTCCCCAGTAAGGAATTTTTATGATGGTAATTGCTTTTTCTTTAAAAAAAAAAAAAAAAAAAAGGCCAGTTGAGGCTACAATAGTAAAAGAATGTGTTGTGGTATTTCATCTACACGAGCACTGCAGACATAATAAAAGTAATGCCAAGACATTAGGGACTGGGTACAAAAAAACCCTTATATACACTGACTAGCCATGTGTATGGCCCCCACATGAACATATGTACTGGAATTCTGCTCAGCTCTACACTCCACAATAAACCACACATACTGCACCAAGTAGAAAGCCAGGAATAGTTTGTCAAGATACAGACATCACATAATCAACTCATAACTCCAGCATGATATATCTTATTTGCAGAATATGTCAAAATGAAAGTCTTTTTAAAACCAAGCATTTGTAGACTTTTACTGATGCATTGTTTCAAATTATCAAACTTTGACAAGTCAAAATAATGATACTATGAAAGTCATTTGTTTATATGAATAACAATAAGGAACATGGTTGTTAGTAAAGCTGAACAAATGTCATCAATGTTAGATTGTTAAATAAAAATTCAACCTTATATTAAAATGAAAAGGGATCACGATATGATACTTAGAAAGTGATCAGTTTCTTATAGTAATTCTGTCGCCAGGCTTTGTTGATTTTACCTCCAGAATATCCCTGGAATTCTTTCACTTTTCACCTTCTTCACCGCTATACTCTAGATCAAACTGGCAGATAAATGGAGCAGCTTCTTATCTGATCACTGTGCTTCTACTTTTTTCTACTAGAACCTATTTTCCAGAGAGCATTTAGAAAGATCTTTTAAAAACATTTTATCACATTATGTCACCTTTTTGCTTAAAAAACCCTCAGGTTTTCTACTTCCAAAACACTGATCAACAGTAAATTTAGTGATCTAGCCCCTGCCTCTTTCCTCAGCCCCACTCTTTCTCTTACACAGATTACTCTAGACATGCTGGATTTCCGCCTTCTTACTAAGCTTGTTCCTCCTTAGAGTATCTGCATTTACTGGTCCTCTACTAATGCTTTGCTCTCAATTCCTTCTATTGCTGCCTTCTCATCTTTCAGTCTCAGGTCAAGTGTCATTTTAACAGAGATATCTTTCCTTGACCATCCTTGTTCTAAAATAACACCTCAATACCCTTTCCTGCTCCCAGACCCCCGTGAAACAGTGATTTTGTCCTTCTGCTTTAGTTCCCTGTTACCACTTAACACTACTTAAAATTGCCCTGTTTATTTACCAAATTACTTCTTTCTTTGTCTCTCCTCCTATGAATGTAAAAGCCTCAAGAGTTACATGTAGCAATTTAAATTAATTAAAAAAGGAATTCAGTTCCTCAGACCCACTAGCCACATGTAGCTAGTGGCTACTATGTTGGACAGAGCAGATGCAGAACATTTGCATAATCACAAAATATTTTACTGGAAACAATGAATGCCTCAAATAGCACTTGGCATATAGTGTGTATGAAACAAAAATTTATTAGATTAATTAATTGGCACATAGTATGTATGCAACACAAAAGATTGATTAATAAGTAGTTAAATTATAGAATTGTGTTCTATTTTGATTATCACATGTCAGAAAGGAACTAGAGATACAGGAGGGTAAAGAAACCAAATTCATATTTGTTTCCTAGTAGGTGGGACCAAATTTGTCGACAATCAGTGAGCCGTGGTAGTTGTAACAGCATAATGAACTTTTTGGAGGAGTGCTGGTAATTATTAGTCTATAAAAATTAGGCAAGAAAAGGTTAACATTTCCTTGTCTGTAGGGAAGAATATCTGACCATAAGTCTGCTAAATATTAAAACAGGATATTAAGAAAGACTATTGAGTTTTGAGTGATAAAAATTATCATGAACAAAAAAAGATCATCTGTCCAAAATGATGAAGAAGAGGCAGTTGGCTACACCAATAACATAGTATCAACCCTGTGATCAGGGCTAAGAAGGAGAAAATATTCCACTTGAAAACTTATGACCTAACTAGTTGATCTGGAAGATCAACAATTTTTATAATGATATGTTAATTGTATCGATCTGCACCTATACAAAAGTTACAACATCCTGGCCAAATAATCTCCAGTTTTGTGGTTTTGTTACTACAAGTAACTATGTTTAAGAACATTTATGTCTGCACCTAGTTTTCCGATGCAAATAACTGAGTAGTATAGTCCTGGCAAGCAATTAACTTACTTTGTTTCCCTGTCTGCAATTAATGAGAACTGACACTTTTAGAAATTCCAAATCTTAAAATGTGCCTATTTTTTCAAATTGGAAACTTAGCATTATTGATTTCAAATAACATTAAAGCTTCGTTTTACATTTATTTCATATAATCACAGGGTTGAATCTAAAGCTCAAAGGGACTTCAGAATTTATAAGGCCTAAGCCCTTCAGTTTTTCAGATGAGGAAACCAGAACCTAAAGGAGTTGACTTGCCCAAGATCAAATAATAGTAGAAGAGGAATTATCTGTCTAGAATACACAAAAAAAACCAGTGGTTGAAAAAAAATCCATTGGAGGTGTATGATTATGTATTTGAAGACATTAAAGAATACTCTAATATGGTTTACTGGGTTTTTATAACTATGTAAAATACAAAATAATACTAGAGATTTTTTTTAGCCCAGCTATAGATATACATGTTATTTCAGGCCTCTTTGCATTTACCTATGATTTGCAGAGAAAAAATATTCAAGGTTTTTCATTTGTCAGATAACAAAAGAATTGTGAGAGCTACAAGAATACTAAAAGACATAGGTTCCAAAGTATTTCTTAGTATTATTACAGATGTTTCTAGAACACTCACAAAATGTAGGGCAGCAAGAAACATCACATGAACTAAAGTCATTCTTTAGGTAAAAGATACATAAAATACTTTGTAAAATGCTGCTCAGTTTTCATCAGTAAAGTCTACATAGCAGTAGTATTTCATAAGTGGTTTGCTAAAAGGCCTTATAGTGCATAAATTCATGATTTGCTTATATCTAGTCCATGGAGCTATATCATAATAGGTAATTTTGACAGAAAGTTAAGTAACAAATATTAATAGGTAAATAATTCATAATATAAGTATCAGTCATATAATCAGTCATAATAAATAATTCATAATATAAGTATCTCGTCAACTATTGACGAGAGATTAGTCTCTAGTTTAATTCTAGTTAACAACTTAGTTAACTAGCTAACAAGTTAACAACTTGGGTCTGTGTAGGAAAATTTATGTTACAAATTTCAGTTCTAATTCTAGCAATATCTTTGGTCCAAAGCAAGTCACTTTTATTTCTTCTCTTTTGTTTCCTTTACTATAAAATAGAAACTAATTTTAGTTCTTGATTCCAATATGGTTTAGATTAGAAAAACTTTTAAAATGAGCTCAATGCATACAGACCTTCAAATAAATTAAAAACCTACTGAACAACTTGTTTGATTTTGATCTCTGACAGAAGTGTTCTTTAGTGTTTTATTTTCCTCCTTTGTATTCATAAAAAGGGAATCTTTATAATTATGCCGACTTTTCTCCTTTGGTAGTAGTAAACCAATGCAGTATATGATTTTAAGAGACGAAACTTATTTAACTTAATAAAAGGGCTTTAAGAAGCCTATGGGGACTTCAAGTGATTTGAGCGACTTTTCTGATTGCATTAATCAATATATATTGAGTTTAATGTGTGTAAATCATGAGTAGAATAATTAGATTACACCAAATAAAGCAACTTGGAATATATAAATCCTATAAATGCATAATGATGAGATTTTGTTGTATCATCTGTTTTTATTCTTTCCTTTCCCTGAAGTTACCAAACCTGTAAAAGATCTATTTACAGAGACACATAATTTTACTTTATATTTTAAACTAGAAAAGTTAAAAATGTAGATGCAAACCAGTTTCTCAACTTTATTTTCAAAGATTATCCAATCTAGTGATTTTGGACTATTCTAAATAACACTCATGTTACTTTAGCCTAAATTATCTGGATAAATTGGAGAAATTTGGCCTTCCTCTTGCTAATTGGGATATGTTTAACCACATTCATAAAGGTGAAAGAAGTTAAACCATCACATTTTTTTCCAAGAATAAAATCTCATATTGCTTATTATTTCTTTTCACATTCCTTCCAAATTAAATAAATAAGTTTTCAACACAATCAAGAAAGATGGCATATTCCAGTCAGGCTTTAAGAGCCTTCTTTAGAAACACTATTTATTATTAAACAACATCTCTTGCTATTATACTACTAAATATTATGATCTATATCAGGGGACTTTCTTTAAGCAAGATACATTGTAAATCAAACAATATAACTTTGAAAATTGGTTACATTTCCACAAAGGAAAACTTCAAGATGAGTATATGCAGTATTTTAAAATGCATTTTGTTTTCACTAGAGCCATTTTCAGATGTGATTATGGTATATCTTCTAATAGCCAGTACTAGGTCCAGCAAGCATCTGGAATAAGAGACATCTAAGGAAATTCTAAGATTCTGCGGGAAGTAATATTAGTGATTCAATACAGAACATTCTTCCCAAGTCAGAAGAGCTGAGTGTTGGAGCACAGCACTATTAAAAGCC